AAGCCGAAGAACCAAGTGACGGACGGACATATGGACGGACGGACAGACAGACAAACTCCATTCCTATATCCCCCGCCCCACTATGTGGCAGGGAATAATAATGTGGGCAGATGACAACATTGTAATAATGCCAGTCCCAGGATTATCATGGTTATAGCTACAAATAACATGGGCAGATAAAAACATTGTAATAACGCCCTTCTCATGATTAGCATTGTCATAGTTAAATATTATGCGGGCAGATAACAACCTTGTAATAATGCCAGTCTCATGATTAGTGGGCAGATAACAACATTGTAATAATGCCAGTCTCATGATTAGCATTGTCATAGTTAAATATTATGCGGGCAGATAACAACATTGTAATAATGCCAGTCTCATGATTAGTGGGCAGATAACAACATTGTAATAATGCCAGTCTCATGATTAGCATTGTCATAGTTAAAAATTATGCGGGCAGATAACAACATTGTAATAATGCCAGTCTCATGATTAGCGGGCAGATAACAACATTGTAATAATGCCAGTCTCATGATTAGCATTGTCATAGTTAAATATTATGCGGGCAGATAACAACATTGTAATAATGCCAGTCTCAGGATAAGCATTGTTATAATTACAAGTAATGTGGTGCAATAACAATGTTGTAACAATGCCATTGGTATCATTACTAGTAGTGACATATTACCACTTTATTACTATTCATGATATATGACCACCATAAAAGATACCACTAGCTGCTAAATTATTTCCTCCTTATGTTTTTCTACTAAAAGTAATAACATAAACACAAGTATGCGATAAACGCTGTACCTAAAACTGCCAACAGTCCCCATGGAATGACCTCAGAACAAAACTATAATGTATTTTTACTCATAAAAACAGATGTCCCCCACTTTTTACCACCCCACCCCCCGATACATTAATTTAAATTGTCACTATAAATGTGTTTGAACATCCAACACTTAGTAACCCTTGTATGAGTTAAGTCTTGAGACTAAATAGAAAACAGAGAGAGATATAATTTTGAAAATTTCAAAATAGCAAAAGACACTTATTAGATAAGCTGATTAGAAATACATAAGCCAAGTTTTGTGGAACAAAAATGAAGGGTTTTCAAGTTATGGCTCGGATTATAATGGAACAATGCCAACAGGAACATAGGCAAAAACAATATGTCTTTCATATGTTTGTCATTATGTACTTCATGTGTCAATATGGACAGCAAAGTGCTAACAGTGCCAGTTTCTCTACAGTTCTAAATCTAACAATTTTCTGATTGATGCAAACAAAGATTGCATAAATGACCATGATGTTGTCCATCACATGTGTGTGTGAGTGTGTGAGTGTGTGAGTGTGGGTGTGAGTGAGTGGGTGGGTGGGTTGGTGATGTGTGAGTGAGTGGGTGGGTGGGTTGATGTGTGAGTGAGTGAGTGAGTGAGTGAGTGAGTGAGTGAGTGAGTGAGCCTGTTGTAAAGCGACTTTAAACAGTATTCCAGTTATATCTGAGGAAACATCGAAATGATGCATAAACCTAGAAACATAATTGAGGCAAACTGGGATTCAAACCCACAATCATAGGTTTCTAGCATCCCAAAGGGATGCAACTATGCACAGCAAATTTAGGTGCCCTAATTGAGCGAGCACCCATGCCCAAGTTAAAAATCAAATCATCTTACTTTCACAGCAGTCACAAACATATAAATAAAACATGAATACGATGTATGAGATGCATTTGTATAGACTTCATGCATGTGATGTCTGTAATCGATTCGTACTGTAAGGAAACACTGGTTCCCAAGTTGAATAGGCCACAATGGGTAATTCTACACAGTGTTGTTATTCTATTGTTTTTGAAAACTTTCATGCCAGTTTGTATTCCATGAACTCAAACAAACCTGGGTAAAAGTGAATTATTTTGCATATTTTACATAAATATGCAGCTTATCTACAACTGCGCTACACTGATTTATCTGCCACCATGGCATGGTGGGAGAACAGTGCAGCAACAAACAATTACTTTTTTATGCAAATTTTGTGAGATGAGAGCACTTAATATTGTCATGTAGTCTTACCTTAATTAAACAATATTGTTGGCGTATTATCGTGCGAAGTCACTTGCTTCCCACAAGAATGGTGTTTGCATAAAAAAATATTTGATTCTTTAGCCAATGACAAATGCACAAATAACCCCCTTTAGAGTGAGTGAGTGGGTGAGAGAGTGAGTAGGGCTTAATGCTGCTTTGAACAGAATTCTATAATAACAAGGCATTTCAGCATAATGTGACAGGAAAGCCCGAAGTTAAGCAGGTTTCAAGACGTTAACCACTTCAGTGAAAGCCATGATCAAGGGTATGGTGTTGACAAACCAAAAAACATAACCAAAGCAAACCGGGAATCGAACTTACGATCTCATAGGTTTCAGGCATGCCCAAGGGACGGAACTCTGCACTGCGAATTGCAGTGCTTTAGACAGCTGGGCCACTCAGGCCTCAAACTCCCTTTACAACAGGCAAGGGGTCATCTTTACGCTAAAGTTGTGAGGAAACTACATGCAACTGAAATTCATGTCTGAATATCTAAACTTTTCTATTAAAAATATCTACAGAAACCCGCCATGAAATAATTCAGTGTATACCACATATCTCCATAGTTTCAAGTCAACAGAAAGCGCTGCTTCAAACATTTTAATACGGGTGAACATTCACTTCACAATGTGCATACAAAATTCCTATTGCTATTTGGCATGCAGGATATCAAAAGTGGTAGATATTACAGGTTTGTAACACTGTCGGCATTATTCTGTCACGGACTATGACCTCCATGGTGTAGGCTAGACCATACATGCCAATGTGTGGGAAAGTGAACATCATAACACAGCATACAAAGCAATCTTTGCACTGTGATGATAGCAGTAATATTAAGAACGTGAGTTCTATTATATGGTTCGACACATTCCCGAGACAAGTGAAAATCTGGGATCACTGTGGGTTTTCTGCCTGAATCAAACTGTGTCATTTTAACCACTTATCTGAAATGAATTGTTGACTAGTCAGATCTGAATCATGTCAGCAAATATGCTTTGCATTCACTGTGCAGCTCAAAATGCTGTGAAACGGGAGGTAATCTATAGCCGACATGAAATGATTCTGTTGGGAATCAAAGACTAAATATCAAACTGCCAAAGAGACAACATTATATGTCAAACTAAAAGGGAATTATTTCCAATTTTATGACTGGTCACATACTGTTTACATCAAAATGGATGAGCTTTCCGCAGCAATGTTCTTTGAACTTTAATATCACTGCATTGTCAGTTCGTGTGACATCATAAACAGAATATCATTGCACATTAGAAATTGAGAAAATGTATGAACGTTCATGGTTCATGTCCATTTGCTCAAACAACAGCACACTAACATATAAATAACCATGTTTTCTTACAAATAAATGTTTTACACTATTAATTATACGTTTATGCAAAAATGTGTGAGTGACTTCCCTATGTTCCTCTGCAGTAAAATGCAAATGTAGCTTAGCAGTTAATAAATGTGCTGAGCAAATTATTTAATAGAATGCACACTAATGCAAAAATGAGAATATGTCATCCAGATTTTGAAATAATCCATCTCAGAAAAAATATAAGTACTCTGAATACATGTATGCTTGCCTGTTTCATAAACGCCTGGTGTCATCACTGAGTTTTAGTGATCCATTCATATAATCAGTGATCCATTCATGTAATCAGTGATCCATTCATGTAACTTTCATCATTCTTTGGCCTTTTACTTTAATGGAATCTGTTACATACATATCCAAGACTTACCATTCTCTGTTATTGACCTATTGAATCCTTAACCAATAATGTCCATACCTGTATCAATCATATTGCTTGACACAAAGGCCATAAATACATTGTCATGATTTTAGCAAATTTTGTTTAGACATTCAGCTATACTATTACCGGTACACAATTTGAAAATTATCTTCATCGTTTTGGATGATGATCAGTCAATGTCCTAGAAAATGAACTGATCTGAAATCCTGCTATGCTACTGTATGAAATTCAATAGGATTGATGTTAAGCATGTAAACTAGCAAAGCGACCTCTGACTAGTGTCCAAATGATTTATTAACTACTTCTTTCTATATTAATTTTGGTTCTTATCAATTAATAATGTGTCTATTTTCAGAAAATGACAAGCCAAAGTACTTATTTTGATCATGATTTGTATTACTTTATGATGAATTAAAGTTTTTATCTTATCTTAAAGATTTTATTATTAAAAAGTATGCATCAATCATATTAAATCAATCATTTAAAGAACCACTATTACCGTATTCAACATAATAAGCGCCCCTCTAATGAGCGGCCACGGCGATATTTGCAAATATATTGGCTAGTGAACAATCCCAATTAGCACACTTCCGATTGATCAATGTACACAAGATATTTATTAGTTTATAATACGCACTGTGTTATATGTACCCTTAATTATGGGCAATTAAATTCTGGAAAAATATATCTGTCGTGTATAATACGCACAGACTTTTCTTTTGTATCATATCAGGCTGTCAGCATAAACCACGAATCTTACGATCTTTCAGCTCTTTCTCCAAAATTATATTCTAATAAGAGCCCCCTATTTCTAATTTTGAGAGCACCCTGGGCGGTTATCACATCAATTACGGTACTTTGGACATTCTGTTTCTGTGCATGAAATTAGAGCTTCATCTTGGAATCTTAAGGTTACTTCCAATGTTATTTAAACATATATAGTTTTATTCAATGAAACTGGAATGATCAACAAGGCAAGAAGGATGATGTCAACACCTCCCCAGTACAAGTTATGTTCCCGAAGGCAGTACACAACACAATACATGATGATAAACTAACTACTGTTTAAAAAGCAAGTAGTGATAAACTGTTTTCTATTTTAGAAATGAATGACAAATTTATTCTGCATTGGAAAGTAAATGACTTATTGACAAATATTTACCTTTTACAGTATCTTTTTCAGAGTTCAACAGTGTATGCTCAATGTACTTCTGTTCCCATGATGACTGTTCTGTTCTACTGCTAATGCAGGTTGCTTTGAAGATGTATAACTCTTTGTATCTGTAACACAAACAGAAATAGACATAGCATAGCTTATCAATTAATTCCACATGATAACGAAACCACAGTCAGTCCTGTTGGAGGCACTTTCTAGGCCAATATGCCAAGATGACAACAGCAAAGAAATGATGTGGTTGGTTGACTGGATGACAGCTACAAGGAATTAATTATTGCAATGTTGATAAGCTATGTGTGCACACTGTGTAAATATGCATATTTAAATTACACAAAGTGTGCTCACATGTATACTGGCTTGTAAGTTTCTCCTCCAGTCTGGCAATCTCACATACAGAGGGTCCCTTGGGCACGCCAGAAACCTATGATTGTGGGTTCGAATCCCGGTTCCTGGGCCTTACTCCCACATTAAGCTGACACGCCGCGATATAACTGGAATACTGTTCAAGCGGTGTTAAACCCAACTCACTCACTCACTCACATACAGAGGATAATGAGCCAGAAGGAATTTATTCACGGAAAATCTGCTAGAACTGTTTTGTGAATGGTACCCTCCTATATTACAAGTGAACAAGTGAATTATTCTGGCAACCAAACCTCCATACCCTCACAGGGCAACAGCCATAAAGGTTTGAATATCATATCATTTGACATACACACAAATTAAAAAGTGTTCATTCCAATCTATGTCTGAAAATAAATTTTAACCTTTCAAACAAATGTGGGCTGTGTTGTCGAGTTTGGGTTTATAATTTCAGGATAAAATCAATGAGTCAACAGATTTCCCCATCGTCCGAGCAAAATTTGGGTTTGTGATACATTTACGTAAAGATATGTTGTAGGCAACAGGTGTGAATAAATCCCTTTGTCTGGAATTAATACAGAAGTTATTGATCCTCAGCTTTAAACATTTTCATCTTAATAGCTTACTGTAAATCATGAAATTAAGGCTTGAATTAATACAGTGACGCATTTTTATCGGGACAAATCATAGCTAATTGTCATGTCAGGTTCTCTGCACATGGGCGGAAACAATGACCTATATGTAACAAAGCTCACAATAAACAATGTAACTGAGCACTACTGGTAAGCCAGTGTAAGTTAAGTCCTGACCTGACAATTAACCTTGCATGACAATGTGTGATGTCCGCCCACTGGAGCTTACCACTGTGGAAAAAGGGGTAGCGGATGGTCTGAGGCAAGTAGTACTATGTACGAGTGCATGTCCTATCTTGGCTTACGAGTTCTAGTCACACCTCTCAATAGTCTATGAGAAACACATGTGTCCACAGGAGTGTAGTCAGTTTCATCATCATGACATGCATGTGTTTCAACTTATCCTAGATTACCAGTAGATATAGAAAGTGCTTCTAATGCTACCATCACACCATAGTAGTTCTATCCCATTCTACCTCGTTCTAAACAAAATACTGAAACGGGCTGTGATCACGGTAGAACGCGTAGTTTGGCATAAAATACGATGATAGTTCATTCATAAGCAGTCCTCAATATGTCTATCTCGTTCTTATCTCGTTCTTAGCCAGTCTGCAGTCCGTTTGTATCCAGTTCAGATCGTGTAAAAGTGCCCGTTCACCTCATCCCGACAACGTTTCGAAGCAGTTCTAGCACATCCATAGCCATTCTCAACCCGTTCTTAACCAGTTCAACCTCGTTCTACCTCGTTCACACTACATCCAAGCCAGTTCTAACTAACCCTTAACCCGACCAGCTCGTTCGGAATACATCCTCAGCTCATCCCAAGTGCGTGTGTATTCGCGTACTGGCCCGTCCTGGCCCGACTCCTATGGATACCGAGTGCATTGTAGCCATTCTTCATTCAAGTTCAGGGCTCCGAGCTGTACACATCATGACTCCAAAGAGAAGTCGACCCGATCCGTGTGCACACGTTCTGAAATTTATGTCGGACTGCACCACATTGTAACACGAAGTACAGCACTTCTGTTCGAAGTACCGCAATTCCGTTCGTAATACGTCTTTCTCGTTTTAAGTACTTAAATCTGACTAATTGCAGAACGGGATGGACAGGCAAATTTTGAGCAGACTCAAGGTTCTAGAGCACCCTCCCCATCCAAGCCTGTCCATGAAGTTCGTAAAAAGACTGTCAATAGTTGCTACAACGTCCGCTACATTCATACACAGTTGGAGCCCGTTCGACAACATTTTCACAAACGTATTGAGAACTAGTTTGGTGTGATGGTGGTATAACAAAGTTTCATGTCAAGTGTAGTCAGTTTGTTTAAATAAGTTGATCAAGCAATGACGACATCTTTGTTCTGGGTAACCTTGTCAAATAATCTAATAATTGTAAGCAAAACACTACTCACTGAAGTAGTGCAGCAACAGCAGTGATGGTGAATACGTAACACGGCTTCTTCAGGTTAACAATATTTGGAATCTTTACAATCTTTGTCAGTGACCCAACCTATCTCAATTAAACAGGCGTTATTTAGAATTTCCTACTTTTGATGTCATGGAAGTTAGATCACATGTCAAGCAGTTGAAGTTAAGTTGAAGCAAAAATTATTATTCAGTTGAAGTGCTATCACCTCATACTATATCATGGAGGGGGGCATGGGTGGCCCAGTCGTTTAAGGCGCCGCGATTCGCTGTGCAAAGTTGCGTCCCTTGGGCACGCCAGAAACCTATGATTGTGGGTTCGAATCCCGGTTTGCCCCGATTATGTTTCTAGGTTTGTCAGCACCATACCCATGCTAGTGGGTTTCACCGAAGTGGTAAATGTCTGAGACCTGCATCTATTCGGGCTTTCCTCCCACATTAAGCTGACAAGCTGTGATATAACTGGAATACTGTTAAAAGCGGCGTTACACCCAACTCACTCATTTACTATATCATGGAAGTCTAAGTCTACATCTTGGTGTTATCGTAATCACTTTACTGATTAGTTTTTATAGTTCTTAGGCATGGCTACTCGCATAATTTCATGATGTATTTTAGGAAAGGGTTCGACACTCGCATTTATTTGGTGATGCATTAATTTCATGATTTACAGTATGTGATATTATGAAAAGTAATGAGCATGCTAGCCTTGAATTAGTATCTTAAAAAAACATACACAGTGAACTTGCTTTGTTTATTAGTTATTTTTTATTCACATAATTCATTATTATGTTTAACTATTCACAACTACCTGTCAGTATCAATATTTTTACAGTTACTGATTGAAATATTTAGAACTCTAATTTTCTCAACAATAATTTCTTTTAATATAGTGTTAGTTTAGTTTTATTTGCTCTATTTTGTATGTAAAACAAATATTGAAAATCTTTGAGAAGAATAACCTTTACAGTCTGAAATGTAAGAGCTTAAGTAATGGTATAAGTTCATCTCCAAATTTGGACCTATTGGTCTTTTAGCGATGGTACAGTATGAATAAGTAAGTACTGAGTTTATTTATAGAAATATCATATATCTATAACACAGAAATGATAATGGAGGTCAGCAGTGTCTGACAAATCGATTTCATTATTCATTAGAATGTACACAAGATTTAAAAGAGTAGACAAGTGGTGGATGTTGTATCATGTGACGATTATGTTTCAGTACAGACGTACAAAAACATTCATAGACCTGACAAATCATTGTTCAAGCATTACAATCCACAGCAATCTGATCATACAAAATCAGCCAAGTTAAACTGTAACAACTCAAACAACCATTTACTTGATACGCCATGGTGATACCAATCCTTCGCCATAAATACAAGATCAGAGAATCAAAAGGGTAATATAAAGCCACTTCGTTTTCTTTTCACATTTCTGTTAACGTTTCTGTTAATTACGAGTTTCCCATTTAAGTCATTTCCAATGATAAATGACACAAACAGTTAATTTATCCTTGAACAATACCACTCAACATGTGACAGGGATATTCTGAGTATCCAGGTGTTGGATACATCCGACTGGTTGTTTGGAGACATTGTCGTACGAATAAGATGATGTGGGATGGACCTGACGCTTAAGCTTCATTTCATAATACACAAAAGTAAACATTTATATCCATTATTGTCTCCCAACATTTGTAAGGGTGTGTGCTAGCACAGTATTCCTATCAGGAATTGAGTAGTATTGTTCACACTCACACATTTAAATGAATTTAGGACAGATTTGTTCATTTTAGGAGAAGTGCAGTCTGCATGCAACAAAGATTAATTTATTCCCATTGAGCATCTCAACACAACACTTGCTGCTTAAACTATGCAATACAAATTCCAATATTCAAGAATTATTCCAAAACTTTGCACGCCACATGCTCCCATGTTTACCTTTGTTTATTATGCATCAGAACCAAATCTCATAATATTCCTATGCCAACATCTGCAAACATCCAGTTAGAGTTATCCAGACATTCAGAATATCCCAATCAAATGTTGAGCACAAGCACAATTAGCGGACGCTGGATCACCACATGTATCCGAAGATAAGCAGCTGGCTCACATGACAGATGAGAATAACAGGAAACATGTGAGTGTACACATGTTCATTTACTTCCTTCTGAGTTACATCAGAAGGAATGTCCTTGTTAGTTGATGCATATATCATGATATAACATTTATTATAAGTTTTCATGTAATAATTAGATCCACAGCAAGCGTTTTTTTAAGTTATCATTGTGTAACATTTATACAAAATTTAATATAATTTAGAATAGCAAGTAATACATATTCGGAATCAGGAAAATGCATATACAAAAAATCAGTAGTTTCAGTTATAGATATTAGATAGATGCTAGCCTAAGGTAACGCAAATCCATCTTCCAGTCCAGACATAACTTTTGTCTTATAGAATAGTATGTCTGGGGGATGGGTTCAACTTTTAACGTTGCATTGATTGTTTGTTGTTTGATTGATTGTTTGTTTGTTATCACACTCAGGGATATTCAGCCTATATGACGGTGGTCTGTAAACAATCATGTCTGGTTGAAACAATCCAGTGATTGACACCATGAGCATCGATCTACACATTTGGGATACGATGACATGCATCAACCAAGACAGCGAGCCTGAT